CAGGACTACACAGAAAAACCCTGCCTTGAAAAACCAAACCAACCAACTAAACAAACCCAAAAACAAACGCCCACAAATCTTGTGTTCTTACAAATATGTATTATGTGAGTTATTTCCTGCCCCTCCACCTGCCCCACTTCCCCTACTGTTTCTGTTGCCCCTCCTCAAATTTACTTTCATTTGTTAAGTCCAAGAGCAAACTACTTTGCTACCTGAGCCAGTTTCCCTGGTCTCTCAAAGCACTGTAGGAGTGTAAGGACCTGGCTGGGTGCAAAAATCAAAGAGGACAGCAGCAAAACATCTGTGGCTGTTTAAATGTAAATTAACTACTCGATAAAGTAAAAACCTCAACCCTTCTGGCACAATAACATTTCAAGTGCTGACAGACACAGGCAACTAGTGGTAGCCCCAATGATCGGCAGAGATGGATAGCCTTCATCTGAAGAACTGTGGGGAGAAGTCAGTGGTTACTGCCTTTCCCCAGGAACTCTGTGCCCATTCAAGTTGCTGTTGGCACCAGGACCCAAACACAGAGGCAACAAGAAGGTTCCCTGTCTGTGTATGCTGGCTCGTGAATCACACTTCCCATCCCACCCACAGCTCTTCCCACACTCAAGAAGCAAGCCCCGGCCAACACAAACTAGACAGAGCAGCCTTAGCCTTCCCCCATCCCTGGACACTATCAACCCTACCTTTCAGTGGGATCCACTGAAATCCAGAACCTGCAGAACTGGACCACTGTCGCAGAAATCAAAGCAAATGGAACCTAGACTGCTTGAGGAAAGCAGAATACAGAACAAAGGCAGGACCATGTCAGAATGGACTTCCACATTCAGATCTGTGAGCAGAACACGTGGCTCAGCCAAGGGTGCTGTCATCTCTCACTAGCCAACAGGCAAAGCCCCACCCTCAGAGTGGCTATAGATCCAGAAACTTTGGTGTACGTCCCTGGCCTGCTCACCTCATCCAGACGAGGAGGAAAACTACCACATACCTGAGCCAGCATGAGAACCTCTTGAAATATTAAATGCCTCAAATCTCTGGAGTCCCCAGCTCTAAAAGGGAAGCATCAGAACAGAAAGGGGGGTCTATCACCCCAGAAATGTAAACCAGCCTGTCCACGTGGCTGTTCAAATGGAGCAGGCACTAACCCTACACTGGCCACTGGGATCTCATGTCCCTGTATTCACAAGTACGACAGTCTTCCAAGAGGAGGTGGCAGGAAAGGATGTGGAGGAACCCCATAACTGGCTGCCTGACAATTGCACAGACAGGGGAAGGAAGCTAGAATACCCCAGGCCGTCCTGTATCACCATCAGACACAGATCAAATATCTTCACAAGGTCATCAAAAAAAGGAATTCAGAGTACAGGGCTATACTCACATTCCAACAATCATGGAGATCTCAGGGATGCTCAGGGGCCCTGAGAGTAGCACCAAGTAGCCCAAGAAAGGATAGGCAGGGCTGTTTGAGAGCTGGTCCAGGCTGGCACACAGGTGGCAGAATACAGATCCCTGCTCTGCTTTCCTAGATGGGTAAGTGTGCCTCAAAGAGGCCAGCAGGACAAACGGCAATCTGTTTGCTGTGCTCGCTGTCAGTATGCTCAACTTTGGACAAGAATTCAGGTTACAGCTCAGAGTTTGATGTTCTTCATTACAAATACTGTTGTTTCCCTGGATTTACTGGAGTGGAGAGAAAAATCAACACATAAGCAGCTCTCAGTTTGCTCCTTTCCCCCTCCAATTTCAATCTAGATCAGCACTGTCCCTCGCTACTGCAGTGATGGAAAAGCTCTCTCTATGCTTAGCCATTGGCCCAAAGTGAGTACTGGGCACCCGAAACATGGTCTGTGATCCAAGAGCTAAACTTCTCATTGTATTTAATTTTAACTTCAATGTAATCGTCACACACGCAGCTAGCAGCTACTAAACTGCTACAATACTAGCTCTAGTACTAGCCTGTGTTTCTGGATGCAAGAAGCAGGCAAAGCAAGAACCACTGCAAACTAAGCTGACAATCAGCATCAAGCAAAGCATTAAAAACAACATATGCTCCAGAGTATGCAGCCACTGACAAAGAGGATGTCTGTTCAAAGCAATCCCACTCCAGCCCTTGCCACAAACCACACAGCATCTCCTTCAGTTTCAGCATAGGGCAGGCAGCAAGGTGTGAGCAACTCTGAAGTACTCTTCGCATGAAGCTGAAATTTGAGTCAGTCCAAATGTGACATGGAACAAAGTCACTTAGGAGCCATAAACAGCTTACTTGTGTCATGAGAGCCAATAATACACTCAGTCCTCACAATCTATGGTGCTGAGCATACAATTATTCTGGACTGCTCCACCCAGTCAGGCCAGTGAGCAGGAATGGAGGTGTGCCCAGAAGTCAGCCTGCTAGCCAGGGGGGGTTATGTTTCCATACACTGCTCTGAGTGGGAGGGCCTTAAGGAGATGGGATCCTAAGAATGAGTCCTTTGGCAAGGGCCTTCCCACAAAGGCAAACAGAGGGGGAGCCTCCAGTCCACTACACATATCTAGAAGGAGGGCAGATGGCAACTCTCAAGTCATAAAATCTGATGCACCATTCCTGGGAGACACACAACACCTCATGCATGGGTAGAAACTGCAGTTTCTGACCAAAGGTCACAACCTGAACACCTACAAGACCCATGCAGATAACCTCAATTAGTCAAGTTGCCAGGTGAGGAACCGAACAGAAGTTGCTCTGAAGAGTGTCAACTACTATCGAGTTTTACTGTGAAATCTGTCTGTATTTGATTCAAATTCCCTTAAAAGCTGTTGAAGCTCAATCAAGGACTGGACTCCTACTATGGGTGGCTGGCTGACAAACTTTTTAATTAATATTTGTTTCAAGACAAAGGAAAAATAGTTCTCTGTATCTATTTTCTTAGGTAGGCTAGCAAAGCCCATGCTTGAAGCATCCAAGTCTGACCCTTTCAGTCTGTATCCAAGGGTAAGAGTATAGTAGGGTGAGGTGGCGCACACCTTTAATCCCAGCACTCGGGAGGCAGAGGCAGATGAGTTCGAGGCCAGCCTGGTCTACAGAATGAGTTCCAGAACAGCCAGAGCTACCCAGTGAGACCTTGACTCTAAAAACAAACAAGTAGTAAAAGTATCTTGTCTTCTAGGAAGGTTCCTTCCTGTTACTAAGGGGCTGAAATTAAAGATCCTGAAAGCATTCTTTAAGGTTTTAGGACATGGAAAACAACAAAATAACCTCTTTTGATGTTCTTATCTAAAAAAAAATAAGTGAAAAGTTAGGAAAACCACTCTTTGCCACTGCTTTCCCATGGAACAGCAAATGCGGAATAGATTATTTTGCATAACGGAACTCAAGAATAAAACTAAGGCTAATTGCTACTGCCAAGCAAGAAGAATCGTGTGGCGTGGGAAAGCTCTCTGTAGGCAAAAGCAAGGAACACAGGATGCATCAGTCAAAAAAGAACAATGCGGATTAGCTGAGACAGGACTTTTATGTTTGACAGTACTCACTGGAAAAGAAAAGAAAAAAAAAAGGCCAAACTTTCTTTTCTACTGACATCCACAGTGAAATGCAGAGGCCTTTACAAGACGGACCGGGCAGTTTAATCTAGTAGTTCCACCGATATACACCCTCCTCCCCAAACTTCTCGTGGCCGGAACAGTTTCTAGTAACCTATTAGTTAAAAACACTTCCCAGAATGAAAAATCTACAAGTTCAACATGAAACATGCCAACTACTCTCTCCTTCGGGAAAATCATGGGAAGAAACAAAACGCCTGGCGCCCCCAAACGCATTCAGTAGAAAAGGTCACTTTAAAGGACTCAGGGCAGAAGCGCTTGCAGAGAACCCTCAAAGAGCGGCGATAATTGCCCGCCCAGAAGGCATCCAAGCACAGGCACTTGGAGGCGCGCCCGGCACGCTGCTGCTCTCAGCAAACGCCCCTATAAAGCACAGCGCCCGGCGAACCTCTGCCCTCCTCCTCTCCCAGGAGCCCATCCATCCACGCCACGTCGGGCGCCCAGGCCCGGGCAGCCACGTGCTCCAGCCAGCGGCCCGGAGCTCGCACGCCGCTCCGGGGAAGAGCTTGGCGGCCCTCGCAGGCGCTCGCCCCGGCTCCCGGACCGCCTAGTGCCGGGCCGCCACCCCTTCTGGTCGAGCTCCCCGTGCTCCCCGGCCGTCGCGCCGGCCCGCTCCTCCCACACCAGGGCCCCGCGGACGGGGCCCCGCGCGCGGCAGGCACCTGACCCGGAGCCACGCGTGGCACAGAGGCCTCGCCGACTCGAAGGTCGGCGGCCTCCCGCAGTCGCGAGCCCAACTCACCTCTCTCGGGAGCTACCGCCGCCCGGACCCAGACGCCTCCTTCCCCACGCGGCCATCTTGGAGACTCTCGGCTCGTCGGGGGCTGGCGCCGACGCGGCTCGGGGCGCGCGCAGGCCGAAGGGAAACGTAGTCCGGCGAGCCGCTTGGTCCGCAAGAGGGAGGCGGCGAGCGGACTACAACGCCCACAATGCCGCATGCCGGAAGGCTGCTGCAAACTGCCGCGCGCAAGAGGGCGAAAGGTGGGCTCCGCCTGGGGTAAGAGTCTCCCAGTCGCAGTGTGCGGATTGCTGCGCCCCCCGCCTGGACGTCCTTGGGCGCCCAGAGCGAGTGGCTGAAGGAGAGCGGAAAGCAAGCGCCTACCACTCCCAGAGCGCTTCGCGCGGCCACCCCGCCCTCACGGCCGGAGAGGCCCAACCCTTGGCCTCGCTCGGCCCTCTCGCCCTTCGCTGTGGCCTCGGCCGCTGGGGGGCCTGCCTTTCCCCTGCCTCACACGTCACGACGGGGCTTGAGCAGCTTAACCGCCCCCATGTCTCTCTTCTCACCCGCAGACGAGAACTCGTGCGCCCCCAGTTTGAAGGTTACCCCGGCTTCCGCAGTGTCCACCGCCCTCCCCCCCCGCACCTCTCCTGACCAGAACTTGCCAGGCTGGCGAATTCAGAGATGTTCGAGGGTCTGTAGATGCGCGTGACCCCAAAGGCCTGTTCCTCCCAGCCAGTTTTGGTGCTTCCAAACCTGGCTTGGATCTGTGTGGTTTCGAGGAAGTTCCTGGTTTTCAAATCGAGTGCTGCACCCCTGCCTCACAGTGCCAGTGTGGCCGAAAATTAGGGATGTGGAGAGTAGAGAGACAGACAGACAGACAGACAGACAGAGAAGAATGAGGTATGAGGGCCTGCAGAGATGGTTCAGTGGCTAAGGGCACTGACTGCTCTTGAGGGGACTCAGGATCAATTCCTGGCACATGGCGGCCAACCATAGTCAGCTACTCCAGTAGCTTCTGGGGCCCTCTTCTGGCCTCGTGAGCACTGCACACATGTGGTGCACTAACACGGGCAAAGCACCTAGACACGTTAGAAAAAGAAAAAAGAAAGGTATGAAAAAGCCAGGTGAGCCAGGCGGTGGTGGCGCAGCACTCCGGGAGGCAGAGGCAGGCGGATCTTTGTGAGTTCAAGGCCAGCCTGGTCTACAGAGTTAGATCCAGGAAAGGCGCACAGCTACACAGAGAAACCCTGTCTCGAAAAACCAAAAAAAAAGCCAGCTGATAGAGCCTGGAAACCCTCCCCTGCCTGGGCTACTCACAAAAAACAGCACGCGGGAGAAAAACTTGGCCCAGAGAAGGCCAAGTGATAAGGAAATGGCCTATAAAGGTTCATGAGAATCATGGCTAAGGACTTGAGTTTATGCGTTTTTTTCCAGATCACTAGCCTACTCCCAACCTCCTGAATGTCTTTGTAAATTTTTTAATAAGTTGACTCTCTTGTTAACTATGTATCTCTGATACAATTTGTCCTTAGACACAAGAACCTAGAAACCTAAGCAGGTGGCCCTCTGTGACGCATCCAGGAGATAAAGTCTCTGCTCTTTCTTTTTTCCCCCGTTTCTCCCTTCCTTATTTACACTATTCTTTCACTTTCCCAGAAGCATTTTAAAGTGGTGGGAAAACTCACCTCTCGAGGAACCCTGATAATAGGGCAAGGGCATGCTCCCTTTTCCATCATCCTTCACTTTTCTGTGTTTTTGTACCTATGGTGTTTTATACTCACGGCCTAGGGAAGCCTGGACCCTCTTCTCTGCCCTACTGTAACAAGAGCCAAAAAAAAAAAAAAAAATGCATTGACCAGGGGCTAAGAAGCTCACATTTAAACTGGGCGGCAGCTGGCTAGGAGGGTCCGCCTTTTCTGGGATGCCTGTGAGGTTCTAGTGTCCCAGTACCAAGTCTGAGAAGTGGTGGATCCCCCTGGGGATTCATGTCCCTGTCTTGGTTTTATTTCCCGTTGCTGTGATAAAAATACCCTGACACAAGCCACTTAAAAAAGAAGAGGGTTTATTTGGCTCACACTTCAGGTTATAGTCTGTGGTGGTTTTAATGAGAATGGTCTCCAAAGGCTCATATATTTGAATGTTTGATTCCCAGTTGTACTGTTTAGGAAGAATCAGGAGGTGTGGCCTTATTGTAGGAGGTGAGTCACTGGGGGTAGGCTTTGAGATTTCCAAAGCCCAGGCCAGGCGCGGTCTCTCTCTTTCGCTGCCTGGTAGTTGTTATCTCAACATGTAGGATCTCAGCTACTGCTCCAGCACTATGCCTGTTTGCTAGCTGTCATGCTCGCCACCGTGACGGTCATAGACTCACCCTCTGAAAGTGTAAACAAGCCCCTAATTAAATGCTTTCTAAGTTGCCTTGGACATGGTGTCTCTTCACAACAACAGAACAGTAACTAAGACACAGTCCATCACAGCAGGGAAGCCATAGCAGCAGGAGCTTGAGAATACTTTTCACACTACATCCACAGAGCAGAGAATAGTATTCTTTCTCTCTGTTCTTTCTCTGCTTGTGTATAGTCCAGGATCTCTTGCCCCCAGTAGTGGGTAGTTCTTCCCATCTTAGTTAGTTAAGATAATACCCCACAGACATGCCCACAGTCCACCTTAATGTGTCTAGGCAACCCTTCACTCAGACTCCTTTTCCAGGTGATTCCAGTTTGTGTAAAGTTGACAACACAAACTGACAACACTACCTCATCTAAATTTGACACACGAACACATCGCTTTAAACCATAACCTTAAGCTTTCATTCCTTCTTCCCAAAGTCTCATGATTAGCTCATCATGTAAAATAACAACCCAGCTTTTAAAATCCCAACACTTTAAAAGTCCAAAGTCTTAAATGTGAGTCCCAGCAATAGTAATAATAAAATTTCCATCCTATGCTGGTACAGAATAAACATTCCCATTTCAGAATGGAGGGATCAGGGCATAGCAAGGGATGATTCACACAAAACAAGAATCCAGCGGAGCAAACACCAAATCCTGAAGCTCCATATCTAGCATCTGGGACTTGTGATAAAATTGACTATGGTCCGAAAAGTTCAAGCTCTGCTACTTGTAGCTCACATATCTTAACTTTCAGGCCAGCTCTAGTCTACACCTGCAGCCATTCTTGGCAGATGTCCCATGGTCCTGGCAATTCCAAAATCCTAGGGTTTCCAATGCAGCTTGAGTTTCACCTTCATAGCTTCACACAGTAGCCACTCAGGGACTCTAACCCTGCCACACAGTATCTGGCCTCAGTGGCTCCTCATGACCTCCTCAATCTTTGTTCTCTTTGCCTTTAAACCTAGAGGTCTAAATTTCCCCCATTTTACAACCGGGTTTAGGTTTCAGGGTTTTTTTTTGTTGTTGTTGTTTGTTTGTTTGTTTTTTGTTTTTGTTTTTGTTTTACAGCAAACAAGTTTTTTTCCAACAAAGGACCATTAGTCAACACTGCCCCTGACAGCAGATATGAGGAGGGAAGCATGTGTGAGGCCTGAGGCCAGCCCCTACAGTTTCACAAGACAGTCACACACACACACACACACACACACACACACACACACACACACACACACGACAGTTCCTGTAACCCCCTGAAACAGTATGCCCAAAGATGGAAAAACTGAAACCTCAGCCAATCAAAAATATACTAGTGTAAATGTACATTTCTTTCTCACACACCAGTTCCCAAATAACTGACTCAGAGGCTGAATATAAATTATAAATGCTCAGCCAATAGCTCAGGCTTGTTACTAACAGCTCTTACAACTTAAATTAACCCATTTCTATTAATCTATGTATTGCCATGTGGCTCATGGCTTTATCTGTCCTCTAGCATGTCTTGCTTGCTGGTTGGAGTCTCCTGACTCTTCCTTGTTCCTTCCCAGCATTCTCAGTTTGGCTCTCCTGCCTAATCTTATTCTGTTCAGCTATTGGCCAGTCAGCTTGTTTATTAAACCAATCACAGCAACAAAACTTCACAGTGTACAAAGGGGTTATTCCACAGCATACTAATGTAACTGCTGCTTGTTTGACCAATTATGTTTGAGATGACCTAACTGTTCCTGAAATTCCCCTAGCTGTGCTTAAAAGGAGCCTGCCCACTCCTCTCAGTGTCCACACCATTTTGTATAGGTGAACGATCCCACATATGCTGGGTTAATAAATGCTCTTTGCTCTTACATACTATTTGAGTCTGGGGTCTTCCTTCAGCATTTTCTCGGACCCCTGCAAAACCACTATTTCATAGATAGTATTGTCAAGCTATGCTGCCAGCTTGAGATATATCCCAACCTTCTTGGACCACAGTTGAATCCACTCTGTGCTGACCCTGAAGAAATAATAATCTGTTTACTCACGTGCAAAGTGCCAGGTTTCTCTTTAATGACTCCATTCAGTCTTTTTAACTTTGTGGCTGCTCTTCTCCTCTGAAACTTTAAGCCTGCCTACATTCTTTTCCTCTGTCAAGGAAATTAGTCCATTATCTCTAAATTCAACTTCACTCAGGTTCTTGGAACATGAAGCCAGATGCTTGGCCAAAATATCCCAAGAATGGCCCCTGGCATAGGTCTTGACACAGTCCTTCTTTGTTACCCTGTGAAATCTCATGAGCCAGGCCTCCTCCATTGTGTTTCAGCATTACTATATTCCCAGCTCCCACCAGAATGACCCATGAGTCTCTACTTACAGCTTTCAGTGTTTTCTAGCCTGAAGTTCCAACTTCTTCCACACCTTCCCCACAAAACAGTTCCAAAGTCCCCAAAGCCCCATGTTCAAGTTTCTCACAGAAGCATCTCCACTTCTGATACCAATTCCTGTCTTAGTTCCCATTCCTTGTTGCTGTGATCCACTGATAGAAGCATTTATTTGGTTCACAATTCCTGGTTATAGTCTATCATGGCAGGGAAGTCACAGTGGAAGGAGTTTGAGAGAACTGGTCACATGACATCCACAGTCAAGAAGCAGACAGCAGTGAACGCATACTTCTGCTCAGTTCCCTTTCTACATTTGTACAGTCCAGGATCCCATGAAGGGAATGGTGTCACCCACAGTGGGTAGGCCTTCCCACCTGTGCTGGCTAGTTTTATGTCAACTTGACATAGGCTAGAGTCATCTGAAAGGAAAGAACTTCAATTGAGACAATGCCTCCATGTGATACCGCTGTAGGGCATTTTATTTTTCTTTCTTTCTTTTTTGAGACACAGTTTCTCTGTGTAGCTTTGGAGCCTTTTCTGGAACTCACTCTGTAGACCAGGCTGGCCTCGAACTTACAGAGATCTGCCTGCCTCTGCCTCCTGAGTGCTGGGATCAAAGTTGTGCACCACCCACCACCACCACCGGTATGGCATTTTCCTAATTAGTGATTGATGGAGGAGATCCCAGCCAATTGTAGGTGCTGCTGTAAGAAAATAGGTTGAGCAAACCATGTGGAACAAGCCAGTAAGCAGCACCCCTCTATGGACTCTGCTTCAGCTCCTGCCTCCAGGTTCCTACCCTCTTTGAGTTCCTATGCCAACTTCCTTAAATGATAGATCATGATGTGGAAGTGGAAGCCAATAAACCTGTTCCTCTTCTTGTTTTTGATAATAGTATTTCATCATAGCAACATTAACCTTAAAACATTACCCATCATATGCCCATAGGCCAAACTAGGGAATCCCTCATTAGGCCTCCATTTCCAGCTGGGCGGTGTTGGCACACATCTTTAACCCCAGCACTCTAGAGACAGGGCAACTCTGGTACATTTCAAATGCTGACTGTTTCCTGCATGGTTCAATGCTTGTTGGCTTCATATGCTGACCCAGCCAGACTATTTCTGGCTGACTATGCTCCCCTCTTTTCTAACACTATGATTTGTTTACTCCTGCATTATTATACTGTAAGTGCTAACTCCTCCCTGTCTAATTACAGTAGGTAGTGCTACCCCGAGAGTATACAGATAATGACCCAGCTAACAAGACATCCCTTGAGCATTAGATCTAAAGGGAAAAAATCCTACCCATTTGGAATTTTAAACTGAATAATGATTTAAAACAAAATAATAAATGCTATTCATACAAACATGTCTTTTCTGAACTTAGCAGTTTAATAATTCAGGTTCTGTTTTCTATCTATCTATCTATCTATCTATCTATCTATCTAAGGAGCTTCTTAGGAGAGCAACATTATTCCACTGAGATAAAACCAGCTTCAGAGATGCTCATAGCAGGGAACAACATTCCAACTTTTGTGACTGAATCCTGGAAGAGGGACAATATAGGCAATTGGTTTAAAGCCCATTTGGGTAAAGAGTAATCCCAGAAGCATTTGGGATACAAACTAGTGCTTCTGATTTTCCTATGACTATTCTCAGACATACCAGAGGTTGTTTAGGGGTCAGAAGACAGGACAGTTGATTCCTGTTTGGGGCTGGAAAGATGGCTCTGTGGTTAAAAGCACTTGTTGCTCTTGTAGAAGACCCAGGTTCAGTTTTCAGCACCCACATGTATAGAGGATTTGACATTCTCTTCTGACCTTAGGCATATGTGTGGTGCGCATATGTACATGCAAACAAAACACCAATACAAAAAATCTTTAAAAGATGGAGGAGAAGGAGGAGGAGGAGGAGGAGGAGGAGGAGGAGGAAAAGACAATGACAGGACGGAGAACAGCCTTTGAAGGCTCAGCGTGGGCAAGAGAGATGCTCTCTCCACTCGAGAGCCCTTGGTGTGTGTCTCTCCACTTAGCACCCTTTGAATTCCAGTGCATCCCCAGGAACTGGACTAATGTTGATCTTCGAAAACCTTTAATTTTGTGTGTGTTTAGTGTAGGTGCTTATGCACGTGAGCACGTAGAGGCCAGAGGTAGATGTCAAGTAAGTTTTCTACTGTTGCTGCCATCCTATTTTTCACAACAGTGTCACTCAGTGAATCAGGATGTCCCTAGACTGGCTGGTCAGCAAGCCCCAGTAATCTGCCTGTCTCTGTCAGAAGTGGGCATCGGATCCCCTGGAACTGGAGTTATAGATGGCTGTGAGCCACCTTGTGCTGGGAATCACACCCATTTGGTCACATTTTATAAGGAATATTAGAAAAATTCCCCATCGCCTTGGAATACACCACATACACCACACACACACACAAACATGTAGATAATTAGTTATTGTCAGTGGAACAAGAGAATAAAATTATCAGCTCAACAGTTTAGCCCTGCTAAACTTCCTGGGGGACAGAGACTTGGAGTTTCTAAAAAGAAGTCATGGGCTGGAGAGACAGCTCAGTGGTGCTCTTCCTGAGGACCTGCGTTCGATTCCCAGCACCTATATCAGGTGGCTTACAACTTCCTGTAACCCCAGCTCCAAGGGGATCTGACACCTTGGACCTCTGTGGGCACTTGCATTCATGTGCACATATACTCACATATAATAAAAATAAATCTTTAAAAAGTTACAATTTGTAGAAACCAGGCCCCAAGCTTAAAGGTAGAGACTGAAGAAATGGTGTGATAAGCACAGTAAAAAAATGCCCTTTAGATCTCTAGAAATAGCTTAGTCAGGAACCCCACTACACCCCAGGCTGCAGCTGACAACCAGAACCCAATGGCATCATTCACTCTGGATAAACAGACACGAGACTGTGTAAGCAGACGGCTCCATGACTCCCACCTGACAGTATATAAGCAGAGACCAAGAGCAATGCATCACTCTTCACTCTTCAGGACTGTCAAAGACATCGGAGAGACGCCACCTTGATCTATCTATCCTGCTGCCTGCTGCTGGAGAGTCTCCCCTGGAATCCTGACCCTAGAATTGGAGACTGGATCCAACCTTCAGCTAAGATATGTGACAGGTGAGCAGCCTTGGGGAGAGAGCCTTAGGACTGTAGTTAAGAATTTAGAGTATGAGTGTTGTGTGATGACCTTCAGCGTAATAAAATATAACTTCTGTTATACCAACTATGCATACTTACCTTCTTGCTCCCTACAGATGGCCCAGCAGTTAAGAGCACTGGCTGCTCTTCCAGAGGACCCCAAGTTCCATTCCCAGCATCCACACAGCAGCTCACAATCATTTGTAACTACAGTTCCAGGAGACCCGGTACCCTCCATCAGATGTGCCCAGCCACTTTGGTTTTAGTTGATTCCAGCCGTATAGTCAAGTTGACAACTAAGATTAGCCATCACATGTTACCTGGAAGTATAAGATGAATAAATTCTTTCCTCCCCAGGTTCCTTTTGGTGTACTATTTATCACAGGAACAAAAAAGCAAGCTCAGATTCTGAGATGGATAGATGGTAACATCTGCCAATTGTTGAGGACCATCTTTCTAATTGGGTGGGAGCTTTCTCTCTCCTTAATGCTACAACTAATCACATAACAAAAACAGTCCTAGAGCCAACAGTCCCAAGATCATGGAAGCCATTGTACTGCCATTATTTCTTAAGAAACTTGTTAAAGCACTAAACACTAACTGGGACTATCATACTCATGGGCACTCTCCCTCCATGGGGAGAGTTGAAAGATTGAATCAAATCTTTAAATGACACATTACTAAGTTAATCCTGGACAAGTCTCAATTGTCTTGGACCCAGTGTTTGCCTATAGCTTTATTTAGAATCCACACAGCCCTCAGGACCTAGGACTACCTCCTGGGAAATGCTATATGGATTGCAATATCTGGAGAGGGCCACTGACTTTCCTGCCATGGAAGCTAAAAGTTTCTCAGAAACGATGTGCTGGTCTCTCTTCCACCTTGGCTACAAGGCCTTCCTACCTGGACCCCCCACAGGAATTTACAGCCCATTCTTTCAGGCCTGAAGACTGAATACTAATAAAAAGATGAAGAGACCAAGTTGGAACCAATCTGGGAGTGGCCATTTCTGGTGCTGTTAACTACCCAAACTGCAGTTCAGATGGCTGAGAGAGGTGGGATCCATTACACCTGAGCGAAGAAGGCTGCTGGTAACAGTGCCCAGAGGAAATAGACAATCTTTTTTTTTTGTTGTTGTTTGTTTGTTTTTTTGTTTTTTTGAGACAGGGTTTCTCTGCGTAGCTTTGCGCCTTTCCTGGAACTCACTTGGTAGCCCAGGCTGGCCTCAAACTCACAGAGATCCGCCTG